AAGTCAAAGAGGGAAGAAGGTAATTAGCAAACACAAGATTGGCTAAAACCAAAGTACTTGAAAAAAAAAAACTACTCGGTAAGTAAAAGTGAAAATACCTTAACAGAAAAAATGAATTTCACCAATAAGAAAAGTACTTCAGTAAAAGTTATGATACTGCTCACAATAATCAAGAAAGTAAAAGTATTTTAAACACACTCTAAGTGTTGAATTTACTTAATCAAACAGGTTCCGCACAAACCAAGTTGAGTAAATTGAGCAATTTACACATTTTCTTTTAGAGAACTATGTAAATTTCTTTACATTTACTTGGTTTGGTTTAGTGCAGAGGTGCCCAAAGTGAGGCCCATGGGCCAAAATTGGCCCACCAAGCCATTTGATTTGACCCATGAACAGTTAGGTTCTATGTAGAACCACTGTATTTCCACTTAGTCATTCCAACCACTGGCCCAGTGACTATATAAGTGGTTATAGTGCAGATAGTTTTCACTCACTTTATCTTCGAATTATGTTAAGATTAAAATTGAAATATGAGTAACTACAAGAGACATTTACATTAGATGTAATCACACATGTAAATTTGCATACTTAATACTTGTATTTTCTCAATTTATGAAATGTCCCATGAGCCTTTGCTGCCTGAACGTACATCAAACTTTCCTCCAAGTGCACGGCTAAAAAATATCCTAACAAACAATAGAAAAAATATAAATAAATGAAAACACTTGAGCCACTGCAGCAGCTGCTAGCTAATATAAAAATTTAAAAGGACTTACTTACAAAAGCGTTTGCATTTCATGCATTATATTATTGCATTTGGCCCACAGCCTTTGAATAAATTTTCATTTTGGCCCCCTCTGGGAAAACGTTTGGGCACCTCTGGTTTAGTGCAACCAGCTGGTATAACTTGGTTCAGTAAATTCAACACTTCATTTTTTTTTAGAGTGCATGAACCACTTCTTCCATGATGAGTTCAGGTCAAATTTCAATTTGTAACGTGTAAGTAAAACAATGATTTTAGGTTTTAAATGTAACAAAGTAAAAATAAAAGTTATGGTTTTAAAAAAAGTCTTGGTAAAATTACAAATCATCAAAATAATACTTAAGTACTACAACAAAACAACTTCAGGTATTCAGGTAAAAATCTGTGTTCTAACAGATTGTCTAAAATTGTACAACATGTCAAGTGACTGCACACATTTTCAAAGTTTAAAAAAGACTAAAATTCAAGAATTTTTTTTTTGAAAACAAAACTGTTTTAGAGTTAAACTCTGGCATTAAAGATGACAAGCATTCCATCGTGCAATGCTAAGTTTGTTCGGGTTTAGATCAACAGAACTGGGATTCAGAAATCATGTGAAGATTGTGTGACGTGTTTATTTTCTGTTGAATCCTCCCAGGGGCCACGCACCGTCTTCAGGAGCTGAGGATTGTCCTCTTGGGGCACAGCTGGCTGGAGAAGAGTTTGGTGGGAAACACCATCCTCGGCTGCCAGATGTTTGACCTCAGCCGGGACGTGAAGATGTGCGTCAGGAGGCAAAAGGTTCTGGATGACGGGCGGAAAGTGGTTGTAGTCAGCACTCCTGAACGGTGGCTCCATTACTCAGTGCAGGACCCCGGCCTGGTACATGTGAACATGGTYGCCTGCAGGGCCATGTGCCCGCCGGGACCTCAGGCCTTCCTCGTGATCGTGCCCATCAGCTCGCACCGAGGCTGGGAGTGGACATTAGAGGGACCTCTTGAGCTGTTAAATGACACTCTGTGGAGCAGCACCATAGTCATCTTCACCAAATGTGAGCAGCTCAGAGGAACATCTSTGGAAAGTTTTGTGGCAAAACATGGTTTCCTGAAAGCCTTGTTGGAGAAGTGTGCACACAGGTATCACCTCTTAGACACGAGCACTTGGGGACAGGATGATGAAACTCAGGTTGCGGAGCTACTCCTGAAGATTGATGTCATGGCTGGAAGAGCTGGCTTTGTGACTGTAAAGGAAATGGTGTTTAAAACGACTGAGAAGGAGAGGGAAGAGGTTGAGGAGGCCGCCACTTTACGACGAGAGAAAGTGAAGGTGTCAAGAAGAGCTCTCAGAAGTTTGATGGGTAAGAATCCCTTTCTGCAGAATCACCTTTATTTACTGTAAAAAGGAAGCACCTGGCTGTGTGTGAAGCAGTAGAAGCACTTATTGACAAAAAAAATTAATCCTGATTCCATTGCCTTTTTAGTTTCTTTCACAGCCAAAGTTTAATTGAGACGCAAGCCTTTTCTGGATGTGCATTTTTTTCTTTCTCTAAGATACATGGGATTTGTAGGATCTAATAAATATAATAACTAGACCCTGTCATGGTACAGGAAGTGGTTTTTGCAAAAAAAWATGTCCTCATATGAGGACACTGGGTCTCGAAATGTTATGCTTTTTGAAGAATACCTAAGAAATTACCATGCAAAACCTGAGGAACTTCATGATAGCCTTTCTGGTGGTTTTCCATTTTCCTAGTTATTTTGGCAATACACCAGCCAGCTTTTGACCAGAGCAAGATTAGTGAAGTGCATCATCATCATCAATAACTTTCAGATTGCTCTTTAGTTTGAAGAACATATTATGTGAYGTAATGGCAAGAAATTGCAGATAATTTGACCAGAACATCATTGGAATAATTAATTGGTTGAAYAAATGTATCACTTGCAAGAACTATTTGCACTTGTTAACTGTTCTAAATATTTCCAGATATGTTTAACCAAAAATTGTGACCAAATATATCACTTACACTAACTATTTACATTTGTAAACTGTTCTAAATATGTGCAGGTTTATCCTACCTAATGGCACAATTAATAACAAAATTATAGTCCCTATGTCCTCAAATGAGGACTTTATTTTTACCAACATTGTACTTTACTTTGCTTCAGTTGTAAAAAAAAAAACATTTTTGCATGTCTTACGAAGCTAAAAATTTAGCTGTGCATAAATACACCAGTTTCAATCGTGAAATGCAACATGTATTTTTTACCTTGGCCATTTTTATGTCCCCACCATCTTGTTTCCACTCAAATGAGTATAATATTGTCATGAGACCACTAGAGGGTGCTGGTAGTGTCTATTAATGAGGCCAATGCATCAAAGTTGAAAAATATTGATGCATCATGGGTAGAGAGGCAAAAATGCTTTGTCTGCATATGAGGACGCAGGGTCTCAGGAGCTCCCTCTGACCTTGGCATGAAGTGCATAGTGCAGTCCGTTGAGCTATTGTGTAAAATTGTTAAATTGTTCAAATGTCCATAGTCTTCTTTGCAGCAGCTCGCTTGTAGTTTTTATTGTTGTATTTGCTCCAAAAACTGACAACAAATGAAACAAGATAACTTGAAATATGCTACAAATAAACCAGTCTATGTGAAAATGTAAAGTTTAATTGGCCAAAAGTTTAAACTTATATATACACTAAACATACTTAGAGATTTATTATATTTGTAGTACAGGTCAAGTAAAGTGTAAGATAAACTTTGTTAAGTATATCTCAGATAAGTACCTAAAGAGTAAACTAGAAGTATACTATTTATTTTTTTCTGTTTAAAATTAGAATACTTAAAAGATACTTGCATTTACAAATTTTTGGTTATCAGCAAACTGGAAGGAGTGCTGTCAATGTAAACAATTTAGCAGGGATAGATTTTTGTGTRGAATTGCATATAAAATTATCTTTTCATTGGTTAACTTCAATACGTTCACATCATGTGTACCCTGGTAAAAAAATTTTGCCTGACATGATAACGTGTACTGAAAAGCATTTCTATCAAACCAAAATGGTGGTTGTCAATAAAAACCTGAATTTCACTGATGTGCTGACCTAATTTTAACAYGGTGACCACATTTAACTTCACCAGCTAACAATACTGTATGGTGAGTTGCCCCGAACAAGCCGCTCTCTCCAACCATTCATGTGATACTCTTTTAACCAATATACCTCATTAGTTCCACCTCCCTACCTCATGTCTTCTGCKGACTTTCATTTAGGGTTGGGCATAATCGTATCGTGTGCAATTAATCGTCAGAAAAACATTAATCAATTATTTTTTGGCACTTGACAATTAATATGATTAACAGTACGAGGGAGACTGACTGGGGAATACTCCAGTCAGTCTGCTCGGTGCTCCTCTCCACTTCAAATATGACGAACATTTAAAAAAAAGGTTCTGTAATTTTTTTTATTTATCAACACAATTTAAAATTTGATGTATAGCCTGAAGACTGTAATTTTGACACAATTTGGAACCGATTTTTATGAAGGGCAAATCTTTCCCATTAAGTTGGTGCTGTGACTAGGACGGGTAGGATGTGGTAGTTCTAGTGATAAGGGCGACCAGGGACTCCATGGGGATTAATCGTCAAAATAATCGTTATCGCCTAAATACCACAATTAATCGTGCTTAATTTTTTTTGCCAATATTGCCCAACCCTACTTTCATYCTTCTTCTTTCAAGTGCATACCTTCATCTCTCTAAGTTCTTTTCCATCCGTTGCCTGTTGACACAGAACAGTGTCATCTGCAAACATCACAGTGCAAAGGTGGCGGGTATATTCATTTACAAGTGGAAATTTCCAGTGTATCATTGTTTATACCAACAATGTAGGGCTTAATAGAAGTATTCTCTTCCTCCCATGTTGCTACAATATACTGTATATATTTTTTGTTAAACCAGGACGGTCACCATCATTTCCTGTGCTTCGAATTCTGGTCGTGGGACCAAAGCATGTCGGAAAAAGCTCAGCTGGGAACACCATCCTGGGCGATAAAGTCTTTCCTGCTGGACGTTCAACATCTCGGTGCGCTGAGAGGCAGGGTGTCATCGGGGAGCGGCGAGTCAAAGTTGTCGACACTCCTGGCTGGTACGGACGGTACTGCTCTGAGGACACTCCGCGGGAGGTGCAGGAGCAGATCGCCCGCGGCGTTTCTCTGTGCGCGGCCGCTCCTCACGCCGTCCTGGTGGTCGTGCGCTGTGACGAGAGCTTCACCGAAACCGACAGGAGAAACGTGGAGGAACAGCTGAACCTCCTGTGGGTTTGGACTCGGATCATCGTGCTCTTCACGTGGGGGGACAAGCTGGGTCCCACCTCCATCGAGGAGCACTTCGAGAGGTGGCCTGCTCTGCGTTGGCTGGTGGACAAATGTGGAAACAGATACCATGTTTTTGACAACACAAACGGGGTTAGAGATGTTCAGGTTGGAGAACTGTTAGACAAGATCGACGAGACGGTGACGCAGAACGATGGCGGCTGCTTGTTGAGGAGTCTCACTGATCTCCAAAAGAGCAACAGAAAGCTGGAGCAAAAGTCCAAAAACACTGCGAGGCAGCTGAAGAAAGCAAAGGCCAACAATCATCTCCTCATGCAAATGCTTGAGGAGAAAGAGAGAAGAGTAGAAGACTTGATCAAGTCTAACAAACTGAAAGGTGACCAGGTTGAAGTTTTAACAAAAACGTTAGAAGAGAAGAAAGACTTGGAAGAAGAAATGAGCTCGAGATTCCAGGATGTCGATAAGGAGAACATCAATTTGCGGAAAGTTGTTGTGGAAAAAGACACGAGCATAAGAAGCCTGAGTGAACAGTGCTCCGAGAGAGATGAGCTGTTAAAAGACACAAAGCAAAGGGGTGAAGTTGAGAAGGAAATATTGGAGAAAAGATTAAAAGAACAGTATGAGGTGGCGGCAGCTTTAAGGGCGACGTGTGAGGAGAAAGACAAAGAGCTCGGCAAAGTGATGATGAATCACAGGACAGAATCAGCAGAACTCAAACAAACAGTTAAACAGATCAGGAGAGAAAATGAAAATACAAAAAATCTGCTGAAAGCAACAATTGAAGGGATGCAAATTCACCTTCGGACAAGAGAAAACACCGAGTCGTTTAACGACCTCAGGAGACAAAATCAAGTCAAATCGTTGGAGCTTAACGGACAACCGAAATGGGCTTTCACGATTGGATCGAGTCTCTGCAGAGAAACTGTCAGACCTGGTGAGTACGACCCAACAACAAGCTGATCGGATAAAAGGCAACTTGAGTTCATTGACGATATTTCTGTGAGTTTATTCAGTTCAGACATGTCACATAACGAAATGTCCTCCACATATTTGGAGCCCGACTGTGATGAAAACACAGAGAAACAGACAGGAAGTGACTCTCACGGTTGTCGAAGCAGACTTCCTGATCCGATCAGTCATCTCTGCAGGGAGCTGATTATTGTCTTGACCTCAAAATCGTTCAGGTCAAAGGTCAGATGTGTTCAAAAAACAAGTAAACAAGAAGCCTGGTTGCCTTTTATTCCAATAACAACAACACACTTGAACAAAATTATTTGATTTAAAATGATTGATGTTGCTTTAAGTTGCAGAAATGGATCATCAGAGCCGAGCCGTTTTGGATGAAGGCGTCGTGCTTTTTGAGAAGGTGAGAAAAATGACAACTTATACAGCTAATCTAAGAAATATAACTTACTAATTAGACCACAATAATAAGAATAATGGCTGTGCATGTTTGCTTTCACTATGAACTGTTTGTTTTGCCACTTTCAACTAGAACCAGGAAGTTCAAGCAGGACCAGTTTTCTTGTCCTACAAGTTTTAAGTCCCGCCCCCTCTATGTAAACAAATGGAAAATTGTTTTTAATTAAAAAAAGATAATTTATTTTATCAGGTGTTGACTCTAGTTGGTTTACAGTTCCTGTGTGTTCAAATGTTTATTTTTCCATTTAGTTTAGCTGTAATTAGGTGATTGTAATATGTCCCTGACTCTGTGTGTGTGTATGGTGTTTGTCACGTTTCTCTCTGTGTGGCCTGAATGAAAGCCACAAGGGTCCAAGTCATCAACACATTTCTTATATTTCTGCTTCTGGTTTCGTAGAGAGAAACTGTAACTCAGGACTGGCGGCCGGAGGTGGACAGGACCTGGCTGAGAGCTGGAGGCGCAGCGCTGGGAGCTGCRATCGGAGCTTTTCTTGCTTCCTTCAGGTTATCTGCAGGAATAAATGTCAAATCAGCTGGTTGGGCTGCAGCCGGGGCGGCGCTGGGCAGTTTACTGATCCAGGGAGTCACGTCCCAGCAGAAGAAAAATGAACACGAGAGATAGAAAACACTGGAGAGGCTTTTTTTCTGTATTTCTTTACATTTAAAAAAAATATGAAAAGTGCTTTAGGTTTGACAATATGCAAGGAAATTCACATCTGTGTAGATTATGCTTTTTATTTAAAAATTGTGAGAAAAGATTTTTTTTATAAGACCTTTAAAAAACAAAACAATACCTGACTTCCAAATAAGAGTTTAAAATCCTGCAGAAAAGCACACAACCAACTTTATTAAACATTAACAGAGAATTATTTAATGTAAAATCAAACACACTGAGTTGTTGCATATTTCTGTACATTGTGTTTGATAAACATGAAGCAAGTAAAAGTAAAAATCCTGGGTTCACATGATTCTCAAATTAATATTTTTAAAATGTACAAATCAAAAGACCTGCAGAGACAAAAACTAAAAATCTGTCAACGTTTAAACATCTGAATAAAAAAAACACAATTAATAACCTGTGCATGTTATAAACAAGAGTTATAATTTCAAGGGCTGAGTTAGTATTTTAATTTAAATACCACATTTTCTGACTTCAGTTCTACAGCTAATAAATTTCTTTTACTTTTTGTCAACACTGAATCTGAGCAAATTGTGTAAAATAATAAACCTAAATCAAAAAAACGTTAAGTAGATCCTCTGGATGGGTTCTTCTTTAATGAACGAATTAGAGAAGAACTTGTCCACTTAACATTTTTTATTTTTTCTACCAGGATTACTGAGATGCATCAGGACAACAAACATAAATATTGTGCTAAAATTATTATTTAAGTCACATTTTTGAACTTTCACATAGATAAGTGCGTTTAAAGGTGAAAAAAACAGTTAAATAAAGGTTTTAAATCTGCAAAAATAATACAATATATTTACATTATGAACATATTTTATATGTTTTTCTGCTCTTGCGTTATAGACTGAAACATTACTATTTAACAAAACCAAAAACTGAACCAAACCAAAGTATTGTTTATATTTCAGCTGAACATCCCAGCACAAATCATTTGCACTTCATTTAAAATCATACATGTAAAAAATAAAATGAAAGCAAATCAGGAATAGTCAGACTTACTTTTGTGATTAACAGCAATAACTGCCGCTGATCTCAGTATTAAAATCACTAAAAGCTTCTGATATTACATATTAAACCCCAAACAATTTAATATTTTCAGTGCTGACATTCAAAATCATCATGAGTTTTCTCAATTTGTGGATCAGAGAGAAAAGTGACAAAAACGCACAACRCAGGACAAAAATAGATGCGCATGATTTTAGTTCACAGTCTGAGTGCTTTTGTACATGTTTGCATCAGGAAACAGTATTTCTTTTTACCTGTTCTAAACAGAAATAAGTAACTGATAAAACGGACAAAACCTGACCTTGGTAGGATATATACAAAGATTAATACAGATTAAATTGTTCCTCAAATGTAAACTAAACTTAGAATCTTGTTGCGTATTTTGGTGAGTTTAAASCCGTATATCAAAGGATTCATCAACGGAGGAAAGAGGAGAAACTCGATAGCGATGAAGTTCTGAAGGTTCTCAGGTAAATCCGAGGAGCCGAACCTCATGTACATCAAATCAAAAAGAATCACGGCCAAGAACGTGACTAGAGAGATTAGGTGCGGCACACACGTCTGCATGAACTTCACTCGGTGTTCTTTGGACCTCGCACACGTCAGAACAAGATGCAAATAGGTCCAAACGATAAAGAAGCCGTGAGACACGTAGATGACGATCGTGGCGTACGAGATGACGCTGTTTACGAGGGTGTTGCTGTTCGGGCAGGCGAGCTGAACGATTATCCAGTTCACGCAAAAGATCCTCTTGATTCTGGAGCCGCAGAGCTGCAGCCTGGACGTCAAGAGGACGCTGATGGAGAAAGCACAGAACGGGGTCAGCCAGGAGAAACTGACCAGGTGAGCGAGCCTCCTCCTCGTCATGAAGGAGGYGTAGTGCAGAGGTCGACATATGGCCAGATACCTGTCGTAGGCCATGACTGCCAAGATGGACAGCTCACAGCAAGCGTAGGAGTACATGACAAAAGCCTGCAGCAGACAACACTCATAGGAGATTTCTTGAGAAAACGACAAMAGATCGAAAAGGAACTTAGGGTAGAAACCCGTCGTGCCGTAAACYGCATTAATGCAAACACTGCAGAGCAAAATGTACATGGGCTCATGCAGGTTTTCATCCAACACTATGACRACAACCAGGGAGATGTTCAGCAGTAAAATCACACAGTAACACAGGAGAACGAGGGAGAAGATGGCGAGCCTGGAGTCCATCGTCTCGTTTATCCCCGTCAGGGTGAAAACTCTCACGACAGAAACGTTATCCATGATCACAGAGCTCAGATCCTGTGGAGCGTTACGACGCAGTGTCACACCACATCGTCAGCTCGGACTTTCTGCTGCTTGCATCATCTATTAATACCCACTCAGACTGAGGCTACTGAGGATTCACAGCTTGTTTACTGGTTCCAGCAATTAGAGACACAAACAACTGATTATCACCAAAACAGACTTTCTGCTCAGTATATTTTAATGAAATGGTAAAAGTGATGTGGAACTAAATCAGTGCTGAAACAGAGTTCTTCAAAATAAACTTTAATGTCAGAAAGGTTGTGCTTTTAAAAGAGTTAGAGCTTTAAATTTGAAAAACACAGATTTAAAGATTTCAGCTTGAAAACATCTGGAACAGATCATGAATAATATTCTGGCTGGAAAATGTTTAAATTTGTACGGAAGCCAAGAGCGGCCGTTTTCAGCATTTAATTTTTTTTCTATTGGTTTTCTCATGATAGCGACATATGTTGTTGCCTTTATAAATGAGTTCTTGTTTTAATGACATATTTTTTCGTTTTTATAAGTTTTCTCATAACGACATATTTTCTCATTTTTTACAAGATAGTTTTCTCATTATAGC